GAAGCCTTTTCGTTAACCGAGTTCTCTTTAAGCGAATTCATGTTTATTTAAAACAAGCGAATTCATCGGCAACGAAATGACATCTGCTAACACCTGCCACGGACAAAACTTCCATGCAATGTATCACGGTGTCAGTTGCTTACTCGCGTAAACAGCAAAGACTTTCACATTTGTTACTCCTTCCATCTAACAGACACGAGGCCGGCTGGAAACCATATTAGTTACAGGGTGGATCGTTTGTACAAATCCGGTGCAAAATACCCCCCCCCCCCCCCCCAAATATAATTAGCAATCAACTAACTAGGTTTAGGTGCGCTGGAAATTCAACTTTTCGATTCATCCCTAAACCTAATCTGATAATTATTAATTTGTGATTTTGAACCACTTTGAAAGTCGCCACCGGCTGTTTTAAAAGATAGGTTAACCTACGTTCCCTCCGAAATATTATGCAGGATACTCCCCTGTTTTAGGAGATAGGTTGACCTACTTTCCTTTCAAACTTTTTTCTCCGAAATATTACACAAGATCACTTTGAAAATCCTCCCGTTTCGTGAGCTAGCGTGACCTAATTTCTCATTTACATTTATATTATACTATTTCAGAGCTTACCCAAAGACAAGTAATTTTTAAATGTCCACATGCCTTGGTTTGCGTGGGAGTTAGTTTAAATCGGGCAGAAAACATCATATATTGGCAAAATGTTTAGTAATGTCATGTACTTTCAGCATTCATAAATAGCACTCTTTGTAATGCTGCTGACTTAGTATCAAATATTCGCATCACAACGCCACTTGCGAAGTTTCCATATATTTCAATTACACTAATAGGAACGATGACATCAAAGAGTTCTCTTTTGCGAAGGTACACTAAATATAACGAGGGTGATTCTTGAGAAAAACATGAATATAAAAAATAAACGAATGATATGATAATGGATCCCAAATAATTTTGAGAGTGTCTCGAAATACCAATCCATTTGATAAATAATTTTTATTCGACCACATGAACGCTGATATCCTGAAAATTAATGTTGAAAGAGAATTACGCATTCTCAGATATCGGACATCCAGTCGCGATATTCAATCGTTCATATGCACAAATCTCACATTAATAGTAATTGCTACCCAAGTTTGTAAAGTTTAGAAACCAACAAACAGAAAATAACTAACCTAAAACACAATTAAAATTCAGTCGGCAATAAATTCGTCGCCAAGACGATGCCATACAAAACAAAGAAGATTTGGTCGCGAGAGTTACGTGAGATGACTGCCGTTGTTTTTTAAGCAGAATGTAAAAAAATTTATAAATAATAAACGGGAGTTACGACGCCCTTTACACATCGTGTGTATTAAACTTCCCTGGTAGGTACCTTGGTAAGTACTATTATTATTGTACCTATACACCTGTTGGAGTATTTCGGACAATTTCGAATTTAAAATAAATGAAAACCAGACATATAATAAAGACGCAAAAGTAAAATGAACATTTATTGAAAAAGTTATTATTTAAGAAAGACAACATGATCGTACAATTCCGCCAAAACCTCGATGTTCGCAAGTGAGATGATAAATAAATACTTCCCTGTATTCGATCAATTAACTTTAGCGTATCGTTGTTCTGCCAACAAACAGCCGGGTGCAAAATATTTCCGTCCTGTGATATGCTCACAAATATTCTCGATATTAATATCATACCCTCGCGTATGTACTTTCTATTAGCTCTTTAGTGATCCCTTCCATCCTTGGCCAAGTCATGTTTCGAATATGTGAACATTTTATTCGACCATACATGGCCGGCGGGATGTTAAAATTGTAAACAAGAGAGAGTTAAAATCAATCGCGAATTTCGTTATAACGGCTCGTTTACGAATTGTTGCGCCTGTTATCGTCGAAAATGACTACATTTGTTGTATTTTGAGGCATTTAAGCAGTAATAATTAGGGCATGACATCATCAAAATCGTCAAGTGAGATCTTGAAATTGCAATTCCGTAAATAAAATTGCGAATTATTCGGTAACGAATTCAGCTTTAATGACCGTCGGGGTATTGTTTTGTTGAAAATTATTATTAATTTGAGAGCGCCAAAAACATACAGTCCATACCGATGCGACTGCAATTTATATGGTCGCAATTGGTGTGGCGCGTTTATTAATAGTGTAAAATAAATTAAACGAATATCAATTATAACCAAGCCTGTCAGCGTGTTTATTTTCTGTGGGCAGGAATCGTAAAATACCATCTTGAGACAAATTCACTTCTATTATAAAATCTTAATTTTCAGTTATTATCGTTATACAAATAACGTGTGGCAACTTTTTAATTTATCGTCGATCAAAAACCACCCCACACTCGTCCAAACGTGTGTTGAGCTTGAACGACAGGAACAGATTCATCGAGGACCTTAATTAGGGAAAATATGTATTTTATTGGGAATGCAAAATAAATGTAACAAAACGCATTTATGTGATATAACTTTGTATTTTCGGAAACGGGATGCCGTGAAAGGTAAAATTTGATCTAAATTAATTGCAAAAATGTTTTATTTTAAATGTAACAAAACACATTTTGCGATATAACCTTGTATTTTCGAAAACGGGTGTCCTGAAAAGTAAAATATGATCTAAATTAATCGCAAAAATGTTTTATTTTAAATGTAACAAAACACATTTTCGCGATATAACCTTGTATTTTCGGAAACGGGTGTCGTGAAAAGCAAAATATGATCTAAATTAATCGCAAAAATGTTTTATTTTAAATGTAACAAAACACATTTTTCGAGATACAACTGTATTTTCGGATACCGGGTATCATGGAGAGTAAAATGTGATCTGAATTCACCGTAAATAATGTTTCATTCCAAATGTATCATAACGCATTTTTTTGCGATATAACTTTGTATTTTCGAAAACCGGGCGTCACGAAAATTATTAATTTAATGTTTTATCTATCCTCTAACTAACGTCTGGAACACATCATTTTCGGGGAGAACTCTAGCCCGCGAAACGTCATTTAATTTAAAATAGAGAATGTTTCACGCATTTCAAAACGGAAAATCACCAGTAAGTGGACAGGGATTCAACCCTCCGGATTCAGTATTCTATATCCCCGTGTCAGAACTTTCTGAAGAATGGAACAAAGAACCCGTCAAACCGCCGCGGAAGAAGGGGAGTATTTTTTGCACTCATAATTAGGGCGTGACAATATCAAAATCGTCAAGAAACTGGTGAATTTGCAAATTCCATAAATAAAATTGTGAATTGCTCGGTAACATTCTAGCTATAATTATCGCGGGGGTATTGTTTTGTTGAAACACGTTGAAACTTGAGGGAATTAGTTACAATTAGCTCCTGACCTCTATTAGGCACTCGAGCACTCGAAAAAAAAAGCACTCAAGCCCAATCTTTTTAGCATTAAGTCGCATACGTAAAATATCCTGTAAAAGAAGTGCTGTTCATTAACGTCATCTCGTCTTATGACCACGCAGAAATGCTTTTATAGCCGAATTATTCAATCACTATTTCAAATCAACATTCAGGATTGGCACAATTTCAGATTTGCGAAGTTTATCACCATAGAAATACATGAGAAAGTTAATTATCGTCTTAATAAATGTCTGCATCACGGTATGGACAATAATATTACCATTCGCATAAAATTGTGACGGTAAATTTACAAATCTTGATAGGTAATATTAAAGCCAGCGCAAATGTTAATTTGAGTCCTCAATGTCTTCAACAGCTGTTGCCGATGTGAACGAACGGGTAAACCCGAAATATAAAACTTCGATGTCCGCCGACCCACAAGAATTCATATTTGTAAAAAAGAGAGGGCGGGAATATAGATTACCCAAAGCCTGGATATCGCCGCCAAAACGATCGGTGACAAGAACAATTAGCGATTACAACGGAATTAACCAGTAAAAAGGCTTTGTTGCCGATTTTTTAATGTTTCCACCACGTTTATTCGGTACTCCTTAAAAATATTCGATTTAAAAAAATATTGAATTTTGCCCACCCCTCCTCGCATATCAATGAGAAATAGTTGTGTAAATATCGCAAAATTCCGGAAAATGCCACGTCCTTTCAACATTGTGATTACAATAAAATGGCACTTAATGGTATTTTGTGAATTTGTTGATTTTGCAAATCTGTGACATGCTGCTAAAAGTTTCGTCTGATTTGAAAATCGTGCAGTTTGGTCACAATTCATCCAAAGTGACTAAAACACGTTACTAACACTTTTTATAGTCATTTTGAATTCATCGATATCATTGATAGTCACATGACCACTCTCGTTCAAAGAAACGCCCGGGGAGCGTTTTTTGCGGGAGAAGCGGAATCCGTGTGCTTGTATAATAATCATATTATAAACAAGAATTTTGCCGTTAATGCAAAAGCTTTATCTCCTATGTCTGCATCTCATAGGTTAGAATTACGGTAAATATCGTTATGATATGCAGAATTGAGTTACAAAAGTACCAGTATGTTACTTATTTGTCAACTTAATACTCCGAAAATATTTGTTAACTTTGAATTTTTATTCCATTCAAAATCGGAAAAAAGTGCTATTTCTCTTCAAAATCGGAAAAAAGTGCTATTTCGCAGTCCCTAAAAAAAGTTGCGAAAGTGCTTCGCAATTTTCGCAAAAAAGTGCGCTAGTAGTGAACACTGGTTCCGAGTATGCTAGCCTCTGTGGAAATAAATACTCTTTCGAACAAGTCATTTTTCATCTCGTTAATCCATATTCTAGGGAAGCCATAGGAATTTTAGCTAACATGATCAATAATTAGCCACATTGTAGCCTACCGCTCATGCAAGGGTGCCGATGAGACACGCAACGCTCACAATTGGAGCAGGACGTTTCGGTATCCTGTTTATTGCATTACGTTGTCGTTATAGTTGCAATTTTGCATGAATGGTAACGAATCACTGAAGCGTGAGCAGAGATCCTGGGTGCCTAACGGTTTCTATGTTACATTTTTTCCATTTTCAATTTTGCAGATATCAACTCTCGTTCAATTTGCCATGATGTTGTTTCATTTATCAAAGATTATAATTCCAAATCATGGTTTCAGTTAAACCAAGAAGCTGTGATACAGCATTTACCTGGAGCTGAATTTTTAACATTGAGATGTGAATCGGATGAAGACAGGCCGTGTTCTTTTGGAAGAGAAGCTTTTTCCTGGATGCATACTATAAGAAAAGCTTGGAATATAACTCACAGTTATGTGTATTATAGACGGCCATCTATGGAGGTCTGTGAGATATTTTTAAGAATGTATATTTGACATTATGTTATTTATGATGTTATAAGATATTTCAAATTTATCCTGAAGACAAAAACAAAACTGATAAAACATCTTAATCATGCTGTGAATCCAGACATTTTTTGCTCGTCTGCTAGGATTTTTGTTATTTTCGATCACACTCCTTCTAATAGAAAATTCTGTATTGAACTACTTTCGAAAATTCGCTTATGGTAATCATTTTGGTATTGGTTGCAATAATACAAATATTAAGTGAAATATTTTGTAGGAATAAGGAGTAAACTGTGAAAAGTGGAGACATACATGTTTTGGGTATTCTTCGCATTTGAGAGAGATTATGTGAATTCAATAACACTAACAGAATAATTTTATGTCTAATACGGCAACAACGCTTTACCAAAGTCCCCATAGTCTTTGTTGAGGAGCTCTCTGCATTTCCCCATGCAATCAGTAATTTTTCTCCAATCAGAAACTGTTTTGGAAGTACCTGACTCTTACCAATCGACAGAAAATTATTTTGGTCAATCAAAATAAAACATATTTCAAATTCATACAAATATTTGATTGATTGTACAAATTCTTTGCTATCTTTTCAGAATTTCATTATATTTACATCAGTTGAATCACTGGCCTAATGTCAAATATTCTGGCCAATCAGAATAAATCATGTTGTTATTAGGGCCCGACCAATATTGGCCATGTTTTTTTCACAAATTTTGAACTATCGATATTGACTAATTTTACCGATAGGTATCAGCCAATCATGTGACTGCCAAATTGTCAAAATTACACCTGGAAAGCAGTTTTATCGCTTGTTTAATTGAGAGTGGTTCTGTCTAATACTCTTTCTCTTCGCTAATTTCTATTTCTATCAAAAACCGACTTTTGACTATGTCTTTCTTATTCAAAGCGGATGTGTGGCACATGATTTCACACTTTGTAAGCGAATTTGTGAGGGTGGTGGCTTAAAAAAAACACCAGAGATTTGTAGAGCCATCTCAAAGCAAAACACAAGAGCAAGTATGATTAGAGCCAATGCTGAGGAACTCTGCTTTCTCAACTATAACTTGAAACTGTTGAACTGGAGCTTCTTTCCTGCCATGCACACAATTTTCTTCAGCACTGTGGCTTTACACCGATAATTTCTATTATAAGGCGTTGAAAATCGCTAAACTCAGTGATGCACAAAGAAAGGTGTAAATGTACTTCTTATGCAATTTTTTGTCATCATTGCATAAGTTATAGATTTATTTTCTCTTGCAAGAAAAACACAAAATTCTCAGAGTGTTGGAAAACTATCGGCATCGGTTTAAAAAAGCAGTATCGATCGGGCCCCAGTTGTTATTACCGTTATTTATGCATATTAATTCAAAACTTTCTTAAAACAGGCAATTGAACAAGGTATACTCGACTGGCTCTGGAAAAATTCTTTATTGCTTAAGAAGAAAAACAAACACGACACCATGAGAGTTGTTTTGTCAACTTTAGCACTCACGATGGCCTTGCACCATGAAGAGATAATGCTATATAATGAAAATCTACTCTCTGAAATTTTCAAACTGCTAAGTATTCACACACTGTCTGAAGATGACCAAAAATTACTTTACAAGGAGATTTTTGCAGAATGCCAATCTTATGATGAAAAGTATGTTTTTTTCAAAAGTACTCTTTTTCTATACCAAATTTGTCGAATGAACTTAATTTTACTTGAAAATTGTACTTTCGTGTGCTATGTTGTTATTTATTGCCTATTTCTTTTACATTTTTTGCACTCGGTTGTTCGTTATTTGTGGAAATTTTCTCTGAGCAAGGTCACGCGCTCTCACTCAGGAACTGAGAAGATTAGTCGCTAAACTAAGTTATGACTGACCACTAAATGACAAGAGCTGCTGAGACGACGAGGAATTATAATGTAGCATTGCGCATTAGGAAATTCCAGTTGACGCAGACCTCCAAGCGTTTCGTGTTGATACGATCATGAGAAGACCAATGAGGCAATTCACATAACTGAAGGAAATGTAACAATATCTTTAAGCAGAAAAATTGGTACTCCATAAATAATTCAGAATTCTTCATGATGAAAATAGTTTGTCATTTGGCGCGGCGGTGTGGCTCATTGTGCTAAGCGTCAGGAATAAGCTCGCCAGCGCACCTCTAATTACTCTGCGTGGGTTCCAGGCTGGATGGTTATGTGCAGAGGATTGCTGGACTCCTCGCCGCCGTAGGGTGGTTCACGTAATTGCTGGTCGGTTACGGCTTACTCCACCATCAAGTCCATGCTTCCGAAGACAAATCACTAACTGATCCCATACCCGACATGGAATGGTAACCGGACGAGAGGTCGTGGTTCCCCATATGTTTGAGCAGTCTTATCAGCTTCCCTCTCCCCCGGGATGAATATGTAAATCCTTACCCTAATTCTTATTTTTATAATATACAAGGAATATTACCTCAAAGTTAAGGCCTCAGTCAAGTTAAATATTGATAACAATTTTTTTTTTAAGATCTCTTCCAATTGTGCAAGATTCTATTATTTCACTGTATCGAAGGTTGTTTGACTTACAAGGACCTGAGTTTATTCTATCTCTTCCACTATATTGGCTAATTGCGGATCAAGGTGAAATAGATAAAAGTGCTGTAAAATTAAAAAAAGATCAAGGCCAACTTCTACACAAAAGAAGTGGTTTACCACCTGCAAACAATCTTGCTTGGTCCACTGTACGACAAAGATGTTCACGGGAAACAATACAGAGGTGAATGGAATTTTCATTATAAATAGACTTTTGGGCTTTTTAGCGTAATATTTTTCTGCGTTTACATGGTTTTCAGCATGATTTTACACTTTTCTCACCCCAAGTAATTTCTTATACTAACTCTCAGTGATGGTCAAAATTGAATACGGTAACCTACTATACATTTCGAAAAAATATTTTCGAATATGACATAATAAATGATGCAGAAAAGTTGATATTTGCTTATGTATTTTTTACTATTTTTTATACAGAATAACTCGAAAAAAATGGAACCCATACAATACGTTCCAAATTGACTGGGTTCCCGTTTTTTAGGTTCTCCTTAATGTTAAATGAACTTCTTTTGTTTAGACTGCAAGACAAAAATTCAAATTATATTTTTTCAAATTTTATTTTTGAAATCAAGAATTTAAAATACAGAATATTATTGTGTCCAGATAGATTCGAATGTTCAATTGGTCTTGCTATTATTTGAGAAGTTCATTTTTTGTACATTGTTTATATCAGTGGTTCCCAACCGCCGGTCCGCGGAGCTTTTTTGTCGGTCCGCGAAAAATTTGTTTTGTTGTTTTTCTGTCGTTTCAATCGCTTTACCGTAGCCTTTACCTACGTTTGTTTATTAAGCAATCTCTCTTCCGCTGTCATATTGCTGTTTGATAAGTGAGGTATTAATGGCCCGGCGACGTCTTGGCGCCGAGTAATCGCACTTTTCGACGTTTTCGTTACCGATTCATGACGAAAGCGCTCCGTCAATTCTCAGAAGATTCAGAAACCTGAAAATCAGCATGTATGCTGTTTCCGTTCTACATGCTTTTCTTGATTAATAAGACGAAGTTAAGCTGGTTTATTACGCATTTCTCATCCGCCGTCATATTGCTGTTTGATAAGTGGGGTATTAATGGTCCGGCGACGTCTTGATGCTGAGTAATCACACTTTTTGCTTTTTCGGTTCCGATTCATCGCGAAGGCGCTTCGTCAAATCTCGCAAGAATCGGAAACATGAAAATGAGCATGCGTACTTTTTTCGTTGTGCATTCTTTTCTTGATTAATATTACCATCCAAATGGAAAGGTTATAAATATTTCTTTGTTTAAACCAGACAATTGTCAAGAATAGTATAATATTCCAGTTCCAGAGCTTCACCTTGACACCCAGCGAGATATGAACTTGTTGCGACCCTGCAGGTGGTCACGAGACTTCGGGTGATTCACAGCACGCTTTTGGGTACTCCCGTAGTATGCGAACCAAGATGACGGACACTGGAACGTAGTATGTGTACCAGGTTAAGGTTAGGCCATAACTTCAGGTACTCGGTCCCTTGGCTAGTCACCGAACTCATAATAGACATAAAAAAGAAAAATTAATAATGGCCTCACCCTAACCTGGTACACATACTACGTTCTGGTGTCCGCCATCGTGTTGCAAAACTTTGCTGATGCCATGTCTGCAATCTTGTATTGGAAACGAAATAGTAGCAAAATTCTCACTGGAGTTCATTGTCCTTGTACATGATTTGGCATGTAGCCTACCTGTTTTTTATGTGAGATGTGTGGTTTTTTAAGCATAATGGGTGCCCAGAACTGCATTTTATTACGCAAACATATGTCATTATTTTTTGTTCCACCCATTTCAATTTTTGGCCGGCACATTATTTGATAGTTTTTCCTCATGTGAAATGTTTTTAAGTGTGCCTTTTTTTTAAAAGCATAGTGATTGCCCGATATTACGCAAATATATGTTATTATTTTCTGTTATTTTTTTTGCCAGTCCGCGAGTACATTTTATTCGATTTTACCGGTCCGCCAGGGTAGAAAGGTTTGGAACCACTGGTTTGAATTACTGTCCAAACAACAAAACATTTTTTCTTAGGTAAAACAATATGAGCTTTTTTTATCATTTTCCAGAGACTTGGTGAAGCTTTCTAAAGATATATATGAAATATATCAAGTTCATCCATGGATTGTTGGTGCTTTTCATTACATGCTGAGAGAAAGGACAATTGTTGAATTGATTTCTACTCGAGATATAAATATGATTGGGGATAAATTTGCGTTGGATTCTGTGTTTTTTCATCTACTTAATGCTTGCAAACCTTCTCGATATACAGGGGAATTGGTGAGATTTTCATTTATTTTGACACAAATTGAACCGATGATCTATTTGAAAAATTAGTGCTTTTGGTTGGCGATGTTTGGTTGGTTGTTGTTCTAGTTCATGCGGCTCTTGTGCCGGTTTCATGCAGCTCTTTACGTCTTGTTTATTCTAAGTAAAAATTTCTTGCTAACTACGATTCATCACGTTTCGATCCAAAATATTATGATTCGTTGCGCATTCTTCTTTTAGGTCGAAGTCAGACTTCATCCACTTTACCATTCATTATTATACCGTCCATTATTACGACACAACTGCATTTTTTGGTGTGATAAGCGTTTATTGCACTTCTATGGCTGTCGTTCGCGGCAATCGCACAGTTTACCATTTTAGAGAAGTAATTGAAGTGCAGATAAAACGTTTTGTTCTTTTAACATGTAAAGGTATATCTGGTGTTTGTTTGTGTTATTGTTCATAATGTGGCTTTTCGCTGTAATGAAGTAAGAAATGTGATATTTGGTCTCTGACTGGTTGGCCAAGGGCCCCCGTGTTCTAGTTGCCATAATAACATTCTTTTTAGGACTGTCTGTTTTAAATTTTGTAGAAAGTTGTTGATCTTATTTCTTATCTCTTTACCCAAATTGACCGTTTTTTTATTTTTATAAATACATCGACATACGTTGATATTAATATGGCATTTGGTTTAGTTTTTTTAATATTTCACTGGGGTTTTTCTGACATGATGTCCCTATCAGACATCCCATGGGGATAATTAGGGTAGTCCATGTAACTGCTTGTCAGTTACGGCTTCCTTCTCCATCAAGTCTATGCATTCAACTAATCCCATACCCCACATGGACTGGTAACTGGACGGGAGGCCATGGTTTGCCACATGATTGAGCTGACAGGTTTTTATGTGAAGCATTTATATTTTTTCTTTATAGGAACTTTCAGAAGTCGCAAATTTAAGCGATTTCTTTGTCTGCACATTTCAAAACTTACTGGAACAAGCAAAAGCACCAGTTGACGAAATATCTGATTCGTAAGATGAATTTTTAATCATTGTGTGAATTTAATTTATTCAAAATACACCTACTAATTTAAACCCATTCCAAGCATGAAGAAGTGAAAGTGACATGGACAAAATATTTTAACATTAGCTCATCGGCAATGTGGTCACCAAAGCATACATTTGCATTTTTTTTTAAATTTTTTTGTTTATCATTCATCTTAAGATAGGATATAATACTTATAATTTTTCAATATTATACATGGTTAAGTATTTCGATTATTGCATGTGATGTTTCCATGTAGGTCACTTATCCTAGACCAGAAATGGCGAACCTTTTCAAAATCATCATTTTCGAAATCATATTTTTATTATGGAAAAAAGCCTGTGGGCTTCGGTATTCACTATCAGTTTTTAATTTATCATTATTATGTTAGTATGTTCGTGACTTGCTGGGTCGTCGAAAAACCACGGCGGCTCACATTTTGCTTTTGCTGTGGTTTACCACCCTGTCCTATACCATAACATTCTGCCAACGAGCTATGGCCTGTAATCGGTGTATTGAATGCGCTACACTATGACAGTCTATAACCACATTTGTTTACTGGTTTTATGTATTTTCTATTAGTTCACGATGAACGGATAACCTGGAAGCCCTAAAAAGGAAATTTCAGCTTTGATAAGGGTTTTAAGGTGTATTGTTTTTAATGTTTTAATTTTTATGCTTTTTTCTACAGTGCACAGGACAGTGGTGTGAAAAGACTGAGAATGGGTCTTCCTGTGAATGTTTTGGCAAGTTTTCATGCCTTTTTCAAAGATGAAGCCTACAGCACCTTAGATTATAGACAAACAGAATCTAGAAACAATGATGTTTTGTGGTGTTTAAGCATGACTCGTTATGCAGCTGAGCTGATGCAAACACTGAAAGGAAAATCTTCAGACAAGGTAGGAATCATAATCATATTAAATTGATTTTGGTCGATTATGTGCAAGCCTGCTACTGACTGGATAACCAATTTTATGTTTTCTGTAAGTATTCGAGATTCGATTTCAAAAAAATATTCGATTCGATTCTGAAATTTTGAGGTATTTGAAAATGTCCAGCTCAAATAACAATTACATCTATTATATCTATTCTGGTTCCATTTTCTAAGAGCTCCTAATGGGTATTCAGACTCAGCATAGAGTGTGATAGGATTACAGATGAACTCTGATGTAAAAGAACATGCTTGATACCAAACTAAATACAGCCTTTCTCTTGCGTATTTGAGAGTCCACACATTGGGACACCATATCCAATATAAATTGGACAATTTGTTTTGGTAGCCTTCAGTAAGACTCACTCATCTATAATAAATCCACTAACGCAATAGGTTAGAAATAAGGACTCTACCATATTTAGCTCACAGCATGGTAATAATAAAAGAAGTTCAGAAATTTCTGAGATCAATTTCATTTCAAAAGCATGTTTCATATAAATTTGATATCTATTTTTGTGTACACTTAAACTTTTTCTATTGCATGACACAGTATTATGAATATGGAACTATCTGGATAATGACATACGCAATAATAGTACCAGTTCCTAATTGAAGATCTATACAGAAAAATTATTCAATTTAATAAAACTCCGTAAAAATCTGTTACCCAGACAGTTTGCTGAGTGTTCAGGCACAATAAGAAACATGTTTCATCATTAAATAACTAGGAAGAATAGAAATGTCTGTTCGCATTTTAAAAATATAACATCAACAAAAAAAAAATGACTGATTCACCTCAACCTTTGGCGGACGATAAAAAAGATGTCTTAACCGATTCATATAATTTACTATTCGATTTGATTCAAATATTCGATTCGAAATGCCCAATTCTAATTGTTATCATTTAATTCTACTCTTTTTCTAATCAATAGGTTGAGTTGGAAAGGTATGAAAAAGGTTGTTTATACTTGGATGATATCCTAACATCAATAACGACAAGAATACATAAAGGCAGAATCAATGAAGAACAAATCGGTGTAAGTATGATTTCTATTTCCTTGAGAAAGCATGAAGTAGAAATAAACAGTAATTGTACCAGGCTTCTCACCTTGAACAAGATTTATCGCACAACTTAGGTATCTTGTAGTAATTACAAACTATTTTTTCATTCTTTTATTTCGATTCAAAATAATCTAATTACTCAACTGGAGAGCAATGCTCAAATATATGGACATGAGGTAGTACAGGTATGCAATCTTCACGACTAATGTGAAAGCAGAATTTTTGATATTATATATTTCAGATGTCAAAATAAATTTTCTGCACAAAAATTATCGCTCTTTTTTTTAATCATTATGTTTTTCAGTACTGGAATGGACTAGTCATAATAAAATGGCACAATTCAGAATTTCAAGACAAATGGATGCAAACAATGAAACGTGAGATGCAACATAAAATAAGAAAGGTACATCAGTTGTATAAATGTTGGTGTTTTTGTTGTTGTAATGCTACTTGCCGTGTATTATTATCCAGTGTGGTTTTTCTGACATAGGACACGTTCATATTCACTTTTGATTTACGTCTGTTGAGCGATGATTAAAAACTTGGCTCTGAAAAAGGCTCTGAACAACCACTCTTTATGGCAAGCAGTAATGCTATAAATTTAGAAGTACAGGAATCTTTTGTTTTCCAAATCCAATACCAGGGTAGAGAAATCGAAAACAGGTTTGTCGTATTAATCTAGTCTTAATTTTTCTTCATCTGTAACTAGACTTCCAAGGAAAAAAGCTTGCATTTGGAGTATATATCTTTAACGCCCATATTGCCAAGAAATGTTTTCATTGTTAAAATTTTATCTCAGTGTCAGGAAGTGATATTGATGCCAGGATTTTTAGACTTAGAAACGTAGTCGGGTGTGTTGAATTGTTTGGGATTGGGATAAATTATAAACTACGCTAGGCTTCATTTAATTCAGTATTAGAAACTCAGTAAACAAATGAATATCAAAACTGTGGATGAGAGTTATTTAAACCAGTGGTTCCTAACCTGTTTTTTCAGATGAACCAAATTAAAAAAAAGAAATTGTAAAATCTCACGACCCAAGGATATATGCTCACATACTAAATGGCATGTAGTGCTTTTATGGCCCCAAATTTCAATGATTAATATAAAACAATCAATGTTATATGTCATTTATTTCCCAAATACTGTCGCAAAGTGAGAAAGCTGCGAGTTTTTGAAATCGTGGCGTGGGTTCACTCAAGCAAAACAGATTCTGTGATGCTTACCACATATATAATTACTATTGAGCAACAATACCAAATATAAAATAAACAATGAAATCTACTAGAAAATGATACCGTCTACTTTGAAAAAACAAGCGATCCAAAATGGTTTTCATGTGACCCAGTCTTGGGTTGCGACTCATAGCTTGGGAAACACTGATTTAACAACCTATAATTTTGACTAGTCTAATTTTTCATCTTCTGATAATTATTCCATTTTAGACTTGGAAAGACAAGGATGAGGATTTCTTAAATTTTTATGCCATAACGCTTGAAAATTTCAATCTGGAGGAAGCTGTAGAAGTTTGTTTCAGTGAAAAAGCTTTCCAATGCACTGAGTTATTGTTATCGAAATATGCACCTGCCAATAAAAAGGTATACTTTCATTTTCTTAGGGAAATTATGTATTATTGTTCACAAATTTCAATATTTGAATAAAAAATATAAGGAGTAGTTGCCAAATGAACTTTGCTTGGAATGTGTGTTACATGTTTGAGTCAATTTTTTTTCTAAGAATCTTTCACTCTGAAAGAGGCACTGTACAGGCAGCCACTAATATTTAACAATATGTGAGGTACTACTTACTATTCATTTGGATCGAGCGCAGTTTTTTTGGTTTGGCATTGCCTACCCAACTTTCTCCGATAAGTCATCATGCCATGTGCATTTAGTCATAAATTTTGCTTCAACTTGATCCTATTTAAATTCATGTATCTAAAATGCATAGCCCATGTGTCATTAGACCAATTTTACAACAAAGTAAAAATAAGTTTTTTTTACATAGGGAAAGGATAGAGGCTTTACTTCAATGGCAACTTCAACCATTCGAAATATATATTCTCGATTCAGCACACCAAGATTTATTCAAATCTTTGACAAACTTTTTAATAGAGAATTAAATAAAGCTCATTCCCCAAGGATATCTTTTGATATGCAAGTTCTTCAATTCATGTTTACATGGGCATTTGCATCTCAATTTTTTCGTCTTTTTCGTGAGTATATTTTTGTGTATTGCTTTTTTATTGTTTTGGCCCTCACAGATATATTAAGTCAAGTAAAATTATCTAAAACAATTGCTGATTAAAACACAACCAACCTGTTTAAGATATATTGACAACTGACTTCATAACAAAATTGAATTTGTAACAGTTGACACCCTGACACTCTATGGACATCCTGTATTTTAAAATTGAATATGGTACATTGTTTACAAATAGCCATTCTGATTTTTGAAATTTAAATTGCAGTGTAATGCATTGGTGATGCAATGCAATGATGCGCACGCAGCTCAACAAAATTTGGAGTCTGAAATAGGTTTTAAGAAAGGGAACTAAAAAGTGCAATTTCATATAATGTAAAATTTCATGTATTGTTTTTACAGCATAAAAAATGATATCTTTTCTAATGATCACCTTTTTTATTCACCTTTTTTTGATGATAATATGCTGATAGATACATAGATAAACTATTCTAATATTAATTACTTTCAGATGGTAAAGAAACTTTGTCTAAATTTTCTCATGAAACAAAAGAAAAGATCATGCATGTTACTGAATCATTTAAGTCCATTATTGATTCATTGAAGTCTGGGGACATTCTCGTTAAACAACTGAAATTGATTCTTCAGAACAGAGAGAAATTTTTAGAATTGAATAATGCAATTCAATTTGTAAGTTATGTTTTATTTTTTATGTAATTTTCAATTACAGTATTCTTTTTTTCCAGAAGAAAATTATATATTCGTAATCGCAACCTCAAAGTTGATAATCTGTCAGTGTGCCGTCAGTCAGTGTGTTAGTGTGCCCCAAAGACGATGTAATTTTGGCACCAAAATGGTGTCTTGTACACCAACTGATTTTAAATCACAGACCAATCACAGATTGTCAGTGCTCTCATAGCGAAACATGCAGACAATAACTAGTATGACCAGCCAATCACAGACTGTTATTGCTGTCATAGCGTAAACACGCAAGCGATCGTGTGTATAACAACCAATCACAGACTTTTGATGCTGTCATAGCGCACCAAGTGGTGATTCACATTTGTGCGTGCACGCTCTTATCATGAGAACTTGGAATTAAGTTAACATAATGTCATTTTGTTTGAGTGCGATCTGGGTTATGCTTATATTAGACGACCCTTTAGTGCGGTCGGTCAGAGTTATGTGCGTATAAGCCAGCCTCATAGTTTGAAACCCTTTTTTTTAAGTTTTAAATCCGGCTTATATGCGAGGATATATGGCAATATCAACGGGCCGTTATTGTGGATACCCTGTATATTAGAATGAATAAGAAGCATTCTAACATCATTGGTGCACAATAGTAAAATGACTTTGTAGGCACACTGTATATCAGTATATATTCGGTTTTCCTGCTTTTTCCTAAAAACCTCCTTTTCTTTTCAGCATGAAGAGAGTTCTGTTGACAAAATGGATAATTATTTGACTCATCTGATTGATCAACAAGAAACTCAGTTAAAAGCGTTCGAAACTGCACAAGATCACGTCAGAGGATTCATTTCTGCTTGTTCAAAGCTAGATGAAGGTACATTCATGGATTTAAATCCTAGTTATTTCATTCACCCTATCTCAAGCTGCATCATGCATAGGATAGGATTTTTGATATTTATTCCGGGGGTAAAGAAAAAAATGATAAGACAGCTTTATCATATAGCGTATCATGTATGGGATTAGTTAGTTATTTGCTGCAGATATGTGGATTTGATGGTAGAGGAAGTCGTGAACATCCAGCGTTTACGTGAGCCACCCTACGGTGGTGAGAAGTCGTATCTCGCACATAATTATGCCCCACTGGATTCAAACTTGCAAATCGATACAGGATAATCAGAGATGCGATGTCAAGCGTTTTCCCATTGCTTAGCATGATGTGCCCACCACCGGGCCGCTATAAAAGATGATCAAATAGATCAAATCTCATCTTTTAAGGCTTATATTTATCCAAGTAATCAACTACTAACTCTAGTTTGAGTCTTGCAGAAAAAGAAAATATCGAGTCGAATTCGAGTTTGTCAATTTACTGTCCAAAAACCGTCCGAAGACATTTGTTACTTAGCCTTGCCATGTCATATTGCGAATCACATTTCTAACTGAATTTTCATTTGGCTACTGGATGTCTCAATTTATTGTTTGTCTGAATTTCACTATAGTATATGGTACTTTAAACTCCAGATTGTGTCGCTTCGAAATTAAATTGCTTCAATTGAGTAGTATTTAACCTTGACATTTATTAGCTGAGTGAAATTTTATGATTGCAGACTCACTCAAACAATGCTACTATTTATATTATTACTCTGCTATTTAACTATTTTTTATTGTCATCAAAAGGTGGGGAACTAAGAGCAAATGTGACTGAACTACGACAAAAACTGAGCAAAAATTTCGATGAAGAAACATTATCAAGTATATCATCTGATTCACTTAATCAAACTGGAAACAAACAAGCAACTTCTTTCTTCAATCTAACAACTTCTGTTTTGAAACAGTTTCAGATCATCGACTTTATCAAGGTACTGGTACTATATTATACTGGTAAAAAGATTCCCTCAATTTTATTTTGAGTTGATGTTCATTTTAGTTATGACAATACTAGGGCTGACATAATAGTAAATCATTCCAATCGGTTGAGACGAAGTTTATTTTGTCCGAAGAAGGTCGAAATTGGATTTTTTATTTTTTTTTTAAAAAAGGCATCTTTTTACTATGCAATTCACCATTTAGGATAGCAAAGTTTTCCATGAAATCTGGCATCAGAGTGCTGTCGAGGCTAAGAGTTATAGCACAGACTCAAATTTTGATCTGGGTGACTCTGGATTGTGGATTGTAAAATGGACGCAAGTATTAGATGAAATATGGAAACCGACCAGAAATGACTTATCAACATTGGTGCAGGATATGGATTCAGGTATGCTAAAGATATTTTATCGTGTTTTGTGAGGTGTACTTTGAATAACAATTAGCGCATTTGCAATATCTTTTCACTTCTATGTGACTGCAAGGAGTTCAACATTAATAACAGTATTATGTATTTGAAATTATGTCACACATACAATTAGGAGTATAACGTTGAGTATATTTCTAACGCTGAATAGGAAAGTTTTTATTAGGGATCGGTGATAGGTTATGGACTAAGTTGAATCTTTCAAGTAGATGATGTCATAATGGAAACACAAAAAGGTTTCCTAAGCAATATCTGGTTTCTTGACAAAGAGTGCTGTAGTTAGCTGTTAAACCTTTTAAAGTATATTTATCCTGTTATTTTTGACCACAATTCCTAAAACGAATGTAGAGTGTTGTTAACCCTGGTTACATAAGATCTAATTGTATAATTTTGATTGCCAATGAAAGTGGATCAACAGAGCCAATCTTATCATATTAGATAGCGCTGAAGTTGGAGCTGCCAGAAATTTCAATTACTCCAGCTCTTAACTATCTAATTATTTTTTCACATTTATAATTTTTCTAATACTTTATAAAAATAATAAACTAATTTTTTAAAATATATCCCTCTAAAAATTTGAGTTCTAGTATTAAAACTTCCAAAGTATATTTCCAAAGGTCAAATTCAAAATTTAAAACCCTTTCTTGGAAATAAAAAAGTGGTACAACTGCGGAAAAGAAGGTCAAGTGTGCCAAAAATGGGACGAGAGGGACACAGCATTTTTGAGACACTGAATGACACAAATAAAATTCTACACAATAAATTTTTTTCAGGCTCTTTGTCAATGGAAACAGCAAGCGAATGGTTTCGACGTTGTGATGGAGAACCTGATGAAATTAAGAATGAAATCAAGACTTTATATGATTATTATGAGTTAGTTTCCAAGAAAGAAGAAAAACCTGAAGGTAAGGACGCGTATATTGGAGTGATTGAAGGTTTTGAATTCCGCCATACAAATAATTTCTTTTTTGGTGAATGAATGAGATAATTCTGCAGTTTCATACCGATTTTACTGTATTTTCCTATTTTTGAGCTGACCCATCAAATAAGACAAGCCAATTTTTAGCACTAATTTTTTTTTTAATATTGCCCAATAAGTTGAGCAGAAAAATTGTGTAACTTTGTTCCTCTATTTGTCAGTTAAGCTTCAATCCAGTGCACACTCTAATTTTATCGATTCTTTTGTCATGTTTATAATACACATGCTAAAGCTAAACGCTTTGTTTACATATTTACTATACTGCACCTGATGGTATCTGTATTTGCTTTTTGCATGTGATGCACACGTGGATGCGGCTACATCATATGTGTTAAATCACAGCAAAATCTGGGCAAAGAAAATCGAACTAAGAGCCGGAATATACATTATATCACTGTAAAATAAAAAATTTTACAAAAATTTTTTTTCTATGCTTGAAAATTTTTACCACACAGTTTCCATCCTAGAATAGGACACTGGACAAGCAGTCTTTGATATGCACAAAGCTAACATGTTTTGTAACGAAATATACAACCTAATTGACTTGCATGTGCAATCGATAAATTTATCAAAAATTGTTTTCTGGAATATGTTAACCAAATTTTATGAACATCTCATTGAGTAATATATATTTATACTATTACATTCAATAATAAGATTCACTGTATTTGATGCGTAAAAGAGTGTGTAGTGCCGTATTTGAAGCAAATGACAGCAGATAAGTAAAAAGGCAATCACAAAACATTTTTTTTCATTTATTTCCGTCTCGTAATTTGATATTATTTGGAGTGCCTCTTAAACGCATTCGTCACTTTTAACGCCGCCGAAAACAACGATTAACAAATGTTCAATGTTATTTTTTCGGTCTCTTAATTTGGTGTTATTTGGAGTTTTTTCAACAAATTTTCAAACAATTTTATTGATGGTATTTTTTGTAATAGAGCCACCAAAAACGCAAGAAGAATCACCTATGCACGTTGAAGAAGAACCCAAAACAAGCGAGGAAGAAAAGATGTCTGATGATGGAGACGAAAACAAATCTGAAAGCGATTCCGATTCTGATAACGATTCATGGAAAAGTGAAAGCGAAAAAAGTTCAGAAGTAGAAAGTGAAATTGATTTATCAGATGTGGAAAGTGAACAGGTTAGTTTTGATACTAATAATTATTTTTAAAAATGACAGCACTGGGAACATACCTTCGACCATATACCAATACCGCGGAGAAAATCGTGTCTGAGTTATAATTAAATTTTGGAAACAACCAAACACTGACAAATAACACAAAAAATATGAAAACAAATCTATGTTTGCAATTATGCTTGAAAGCCTCAATTGAAATAGATTACCAATATTTTTGCTTATATAGCTTTCCAATCCCTAGTTGTTCTATGCCAACGTTCTGGCCTGTCCGCCTCTTTGTGCCAGTTGGGGGACAAATTCACAACCCAGAGGCGCCGAAGTATGACTGAGATCGCCATGGTGACCAATTTAGTCCAGTTTCAATCTTTATCTCGCGGAACACTCCGAAGAAGCTTGTGCTCCGCGGAACACAGTTTGAGAAACGCTGTTCTGTGCTAGCTTTCCAATTCCTAGTTGTTGTATGCCAACGTTCTGGCCTGTCCGCCTCTTTGTGCCAGTTGGGGGACAAATTCACAACCCAGAGGCGCCGAAGAATGACCGAGATCGCCATGGTGACGAATTTAGTTCTATTTCGACCCTGTCCCGCGGAACACAGTTTGAGAAACGCTGTTCTGTGCTAATTCACTCGAAAGAATTTAATCAAATTTAATAAAAATTTATATGCAATGATTGAAATGTTTTACATAGGATGACAGTGATGCTGCTTCAGAATCAGAAGAAGAAGTCCAATATTCTGATGTTGGATATATGGAACTTCGAACTCGTCAGATGTGTAATTATTTTCAACTTGAAAAAGCAAAAGAAACTATTGACGTTTTACTTCATTTGAAAACGGAATTGAAGCTCAACGGTGACTTTTCTGCTATTGAAAAGCAAAAGGTATGAGAAAAATTCATTTTGCAGCAAAAAGGAGGTATATTAACATTGATTACTTATAGTGTATTTCATGTTCGTTTCTGTCAAAATTTTCCTCTCTTAGACAAGTCTCGAAAACAAAACAGCAACATTGGAAGAACTGGCTGATGAACAAGAAATACCATTTGTTTGCCAAATTCCGAAATCAGATGTTGATGTACTCAGAAATTTCATTAAAGAAAAGGAACTCATTACCTGGCTGAAAGAAAAGATGAATGGTGAGTGTTAACATTATGTACTAGTGCAGGGTTTCTCCAACTGAACCCTCAAACTTCCGAGGGAGTTACGGAGTGATTCGGTGGAACCACAAGCAAATGCCATCGCTAGGTATAATCTACATTGACATTGACAACGTAAAATTAATTGTGACCATAAGTAAAATAACGGTGATTAAGATAATTAAGATAGAAAAGAACAACAACAACAAAAACAACATAATAACAGAACGATTCATGATTCCACTTCCTGATTGATTAACTCTTTACATACTTCAGTTAAAGCATCACATTCCAAAGAAACAAATCTTACGTTTTTCGTTTGAAAGGTTTGTTTGTATCGGAAGGCTGCCCGCTCATGTTGAAAAGATTTCCTATTTTTGCCTTTTACATACATACCATCAACGAACAAATTTCCGAGAATACATTCGAATTCCTCTATAATGTATTTATAACTCGTGAAAGTTGGAGACTCATCTCTTGGTAAAAATGCGACCATTTAAGAGTTACTGAAACTATGCAGCAAGTCCTGATTGGTTGAAGATTTTTACCGTTATATTTTTCCCTTCTTTTTTTGTCGTGAGTTTAGTATAACACCTTATGTTATTTTCAGATATAAGCGAAGTAAAAGTAATGTGTGATCTTGCAATGATATCGGCTGGTGAAACTCCATATGAAGTTGACATTGTTTCCTGTTTATTGAGTGCTGTTATGGGCTTTGCTCCATTGATATTTGAACTTGATGAAGAAGCTGGATTGAACGTTTTATTGGATAAATGTAGAGCTGTTTGGAAGAATAGAAATGGGGATGCTAAACTGATGGACAAATGGGTAAGATAGCCTTCTTCTCTGTTTTTTTAATTTGTAAATCGATGACTTGAATATTTCTGATATGATACATGTTAATATTTTAACCCAATTGGAACGAATTGCGTCTGCATTTGTTTTTCGCTATCACTGTCACTTGAATCAATAGATTCATGATTTTTATGCCTCTCAAACTCAGTGACAAAACCGACAATTCAAGGTGTGCAACCTCTAATACAGAAGGGCCAAATGCAAAAAACTGGGCTAGCTTCGAACAAGGTAGCTGTTGGGGCATTGTAACGCCATAGGCATAGATATTAATTGGGTTCAGGTATATGCTCTGGAATTGAAATTACTCACATGTACCAGATTAAACTAAATTTAAAATGTGTTTTGCGCCCCGCACACTACTAAAATTTGTCACTTCACCACAGGTCGTACAATTTTTTCCTGTGGGCAGCAAATACCTTCACCAGACACCATTCGTATTGTTTGATTTTTTGACGGTGATGCGTTTATTTTTTTACTTCCAGTTGTTGGCTTTTTATTAATAAATGTGGTGAATAAAATAATTGATGGAAACATGTTATTGAAAGTAAAACGAATTTTTGTTATTGAGAATCAGGGGTCCTTGATACATTAAAAATCTTTGAAAAGGGCCATGTATCTGTAAGTTGAGAACCACTGGTATAAGTGGGTGACGCTAAACCGTTAAAACCTCACCATGTGTTAAAATAGCGCAGATTATGTCACATAGAAAGTAAAATTGTCATTTTCTAATCAGTACTAACAACTACATGGCTTTTTATCCAGACTCAGATTTTCACTATTTTTGCTCAAAATTATTTTCCATTTTAGAAAGATACTGGGAGTCAGCTAGCTTGGTTTCAAGGAATTGAAAACTTCCACGGATCAGTTGAGAAACAATCTTTGACGTTTGCTCAAGATATTAACAAACGTGGAATATATACAATACGTAGATTGAATGCAAAAGAATCACCATCAGTGAAAAATTGTATCAATCTCATCTTACCTGATAAAACTGACAGAGGTAGGAAACTTTGTTAAAAATACAAGTAATCGAGATAGATGCTACCACTGGACTTTGGGTCACGAACCCAAAGTTGTGTCGTCTGAAAATTCTTTTGGGTCATTTGTTTTTTCAACAAAAACCTAAAAGTTGATTTTGTTTTCTGGTAAATTTTTTTTTTTGTTGTATTTGGTATTGAAGTGTTGCTCAATAGTAATTGTATATGTGGGAAGTATCAGAGCGTTAGAACTTGAATGCATCTATTATGCTTAAGTGTAGTCATGCAAGATTTCAAATTTTGAAATGATGAAATGAATAATAATGAAATAAATGTTATGTAAAAATGATTGTTTATGTTTTGTATTAATAATTTCATTATAATCACTACATGACGTTTAGTATTAGAGCATATCTCTGGGTTGCGAGATTTTACAAAATTTAATTATTATGAAATTTGCGTCGCCTAAAAAAAGGTTGGGAACCCCTGCCATAGTATATTGGTTGGTATTGGTGTGGTTATTGTCATCTTGGATTAAAAATTTCTGATTGCTATTTTTTTAGATAAAAAAGACGTTTTCCAGCTTGAAGCTCTTTGTGATTTACAATCCAAATTAATGTTGATTGCTGGAGAAGCTGAGATGGGACAAACTGACGTCACACAATTTGTTGAAGTATTAACTGCAGTACAGACACTTGCTGGTACTTACGTCAAGTTGGTTTCATCTGGCTGTATGCTGTTCAACAATTGGTCGGCAGTTATAACGTAAGTAAAATTAGCGGCTACTCTGATTAATATTATTGGTTGGTGCGTTATTTCTTGCTTACTTTTTATTTGACACAAAGTGGACCTATAGATCATTACTTATCGATTTTAATCGGTAAGGTATTTGGTATGTCTGTATGTATGTCTGTTTATCTGTTAGATGCACACGATATCTCACGAAAGCGAGATTGAATCTGCTCCAGATTTTGCGTGTGCATTCATCTTATCTCGGACCAGAAGCCTATTGAATTTGGGCGAATTATGTCGTATAATTAGCGAGTTATCAATCAATTATTGATATAGTGATCTAGATTTTTGTAAAGCGAGAGAATTTTGAGACCCGTCGAGTATGTGTGTGCGATGCGCAGTGCGCAAGTTACAAGAGCGGATGAATCGAAACTGCAGTTCTGTTTTGGGGGATCCCCTAACTATCGATCGATAAGTCTTCGGTTTCCAACCGATATTCTCGTTTTGTTGTTGTTGCTATTCTTCTTGTTATGAAAAATTGCCTCTCTCTTTAACTACTTCTTAGTACTTTGAATAGGAGGGAATGTGTATGTAGAAACTTGTGTTGAGTGGAGAACTGAAACTTCTCTTAGAAATTATTATTCAGCAACTTCAGCTATGTATTCTCCACTGTTTTTTGACTGTGTTACTGTTAAATATAACCAATTTATTTACTCACATTTTCACACTACTTAACTTTTATGTCTCTCTACTAAATATAAATGTGAAAAAAAGAAATATATACTAATTTAGGGCTACATCGGTGTCCATTTGTGATTCCACTCTAACCTTGACTGAATTTTTTTCAATTTTAATTTTGTTTAGTCGTCCCTGTTTTGGGTATATAATATCATAGCTAGCACACCTTCTATTTTCAAATATTTATTTCTATTATATTCTTAGGTTTTTTTGTCATACCATTATATCAATATCTACTTAATAACCACCTTATCAACTTTCCTTTCCTTCGACATAGATATGTACGCTTTTTTTATATTTTTTCTTCTAGATGTAATGATGTGACAAGCAATACAAACAACCTTCTAATTCAAGTTAAATTCGCTGATGATGCTCAACCACTCAGTGGTACAGGATCACTCATAGATTTGAGCAAGCTGTCAAATATTTTGAATGAATCACTTGAAAGGTATTGCTTTATATCGAGTTTCAAGTTTTTATTTTTATATCATTTCGGATTAAAGGGAATTGTAAGATTGAAAATATTTCTGAATTTTACCAAAGTTATATTTCAGCTATGGTTTCCTAATTGTGTGGCAAATTAATTTTGAGTACCGTAATTTACCGGTCATAAGGAGCACTGGGGTATACGGCGCTTTGTCAATAATTTGCTTAGTTTAGGGTTTTTTCTATACATAAGGGCTATAAGACGCGACCGGTACTGGTTTTGAGGGTAGGAAATAAAGCATAAAGCACTATCTGATCCATGCATAAGCGCACCAGCTTATATGGCACTCAATCGTTTTTTGAGAACAAAAAGTGTGTGTGCGCCTTATTGTTAGCTGTATTTCTGGCAACTAGCATTTTCCCAGATGGTTGAGCATGACCTTTGATGTCATCAGTTTCAGGTGACTGATCATGACCAACCACCTGTGAAGGTGATTTGGCCATGTGCACTGAGTAGTCTGGAGCACAGCTCAGTTGGTGGTGTTGATGTCTGTATGTGTTACTTTGGTTATTGCTTTAAACATTTATTCGCTGTATAATTAAGACATTTATTAAATATACTTTGGAGTCGCTTCAACACTTATGGTCTCTCAAATACGATATATGAACTATCAATTTCTGTTATCATACACTTATCCGCCCTCACATAATGCAATCAAATTTCTTTAAATTATCATCGAGAGTGACGGGCTATGTCAAACATTCATCCACGTTATTAATGTTCATGTCAGTGGTTGTTCTACTGGGCAGAATGAACACATTTCCAGTAGTGCAGGCCAATTTAATTTCCAACAATCGCCTATTAAACTTCAATTTATGGCACATACCAAACTAACGGTAGTAACATTCGACAAGTAAAAGACTGAACTGAGCTGAGATGTGCTTTCTTTTACGCTAATCACTACAAAACATGCCATACAACAGTCATTGTTACAACATACATCTGTAGACAGATAATATTATATTTTGAGCACTTTTTGTTTTTATGTATTACGAGTGAAGTCGCTCAAGGGTCATAAAAAACTTGTCGTCAGGCCGCATTTGGCCCACGGGCTGCATTTTTCTCACCACTGGTCCAGGTGGACAAAAATTCTCATGTATTTTGAGTAAATTTTTCGTCAATCATTGCAGGTGGAACCATCACATCAATGCAAAGAGAATGGAACATTATTTTCTAAACGAATTCAATATTCAACAAATTATCTACCTTTGCCATGAACTTGCTCTTTGCAGAATTAATCGCACTCTTCCCGATCAGGTGAAAAGGGATTAATAATATAAATAACGTTATTAAAAAAGTTATTACCAATTTTGCTATCAACTAGGGCTAGGCTATGTATTAGTTGCCTTTTTAATATAAAGTCTCTTGGACTCAGAAGGATAAATATCTTTCAACTTAAGCATATGTCCTACTAAATTTATTCTGCATTTCTTGATATGGGTGTCTCGAAAATTTTTCATCTCACACATGTCCCATTTGTTTACTAATTAAATACATCGGCTTTATATAGGGGTTGGGTGGGCTTGCCTAATGGCTGAATCAAGCCATGATGTTCCGAACCTGCTATGCCAGGATATTTTTTCATTTATTCAGAAAAATGCGATATTGTTATTTCTAAAATTGTTACTTACAAAAGTGGAAACAAAATCAAACTATAGTCATTCTTATCGATTTTAATCGGTAAGTATGTTGATAGGTATTTGTCTGTCTGTTTATTTGTCTGTCTGTTTGTCTGTTAGATGCACGCGATATCTCACGAAAGCGAGATTGAATCTGCTCCAGATTTTGCATGTGCATTCATCATATGTCATACCAGAAGCCTATTGATTTTGGATGAATTATGTCGTATAATTAGCGAGTTATTAATTAATTAGTGATGGGACACAAGGTGTCACTATGGAGTAAGAGCGCTGTTTTGGGGGGATCCCCTAACTTTCGATCGATAAGTCTTTGGTCTCTGACCGATATTCTCGTTTACAGAATTATCTAGTCCAATAATAATTTGGTAATTTGATTCATACTTTTTTCTCTCTCCAAGTGTTTCATATCAGTATCACAGTGTAGTGTTTGCATAAAACCACCCTAGTTGTATAGTTTGATAATCTTTAATGTCTATTTTTTCACATGGATATTTTAACATTTCCCCACATTTTTTTGGAACATATTCAGGTATCTACACTATTATCCAGTGTTGCGACTGGTTTGTCAATAAAAAAGGTTTGCGAATTGCTTGACGAAGCAACAAAAATTCGAGATGATGAAGTAACTAGTCAACAAGAAAATCAAGAAGAAAATATGGAAACGGAAGGTTAAAATGAATTGTGTAATATTAAATACAAATTTAGCTGAAAACAAATGTATTCCTGTAACGTTTCGACTGACTGAGTTTCGAATTCTTCAGACAGTCAAATGATACGTTACAGAAATGCATTTGTGTTTGTGTACAGCAAGACTTGTAAATAAAATAGAATAGTCACCTTTATTCTTGCAACAGCATCCTTGCGTTATAAGTATACATGCGCGAAGACATAGAGCGAGGAAAGATAGTTGGTTTCGTGGGACGCCATTTCCCAATTGACAGTTATATTGAATTTGAAGTTACGAAACTTTGATTTTGACCAGCGGGTTCGTTCGTAATCACCCTACGACGACAAGGAGTCCAGCAATCCTCTTGCACACAATAATCCTCGCAGGATTTGAACTTGCAAACGCGCGCAGGATAATTAGTGGACCAATGACACCATGTTCTTAACACTTCCTAATGTCAATTGACATTTGGTGGCACAATGCAATACCATAAACCCAAGTTCAGGTGAAAAAAAGAAAAAGATATAGCAATTATCATTCATAATAATAAGTCGGCTGGACTGTCAACTTCAGAAATATTAAATTTAGAAAACGAAAACGCCAACCCTGAATCAGAAGCAAAAAAGAAAGCGGTGAATTTATTGCTTCGAGATGAATCTATATCAGAAAATGTCGCAAAAGCAGCAGTAGAAGCAGTCGGATATGAAGATCTGGAAGGATGTGGTAACTGGATGCTATTACATGAATATGATGATAAACTGATCGAAAAGTTATGTGAGGAATACGACAAGCAGAAATGTAAGGCTATTGGTATTTTTTTAAGTTTAAATTTAATCAGTGTAAATTCAACTGTTTTACTTCTATATAATATTTTCTGGTTTCCACACCTGCGCTGTTTATAAATTTTTTCTTTGAGCGGCTAGTTAGCATAATATATCAAACTTGGTATTCATTTATTTTGATATGTGTAATGTGCAATATGGATGTTTAAATATTTCATTAAAATATATTTTTCCATTTTTTATGTTTGAAATCTAAACCTGTACTAGTGAGCATTAGGCTTGTATGTAATAAACCAAGATCAGTTTCGTAATTATGGCAAAATCGCTTACGCAATGACGCCGTAATATTAATAGTTTTATTCGAATTACACATTTTGATTTGTCTGGTCGTTGAAGGATAGAATTAGGGCGAAACGTGTTACCAGCAACATGCTAAATTGAAATTAATTTGAAAAAGTTTGAAAATATCTCCCGTTAATATATATGAAACATGGATATTTCGAAGAAAAACAGAAACTAAAGCCGCCGAAAATAAGATTAAAACTTGTGCACTGATATCAGCTTACTTGAACATGAATCGCCCAGAGACACGAAATTAAACTACAGTATTACCTAGAAGTAGCTGCTGTTTAGAGCGAATGGATTGTATAAAAAAATATATATCGTATTTCCTGGCGAATAAGTCGTTTTTCTAGACCCAAAATTTTGGCCTGATTTTAGGGGGGCGTCTTATTAGGCGAGTATGATAAGTTTCATTTTTTTGTGTCGCCCGATTATTCAGTTAGGACCACAAAATACCTTCAGCGATAGCATCCCCCGCATCCTCATCAGGTTAGTTTTAATAAATTGGCATTCCCATATTTGAAGTTGCGGCATTTGTGTATGCATCACCAGTGAAGGGCTATTACCGATTCAGGTGGGATTGCATTTTGTTAAAATCGTCAATTGTTTTTGTCAGCGGGATTGTCCGCAGATTGATTATTTTAGATCGGTAATGTTCTTATATGGTGGACGCAATGGCGAGTTACGTTGAACACAATTAGATTGAAATTGAAGGAGAGTTCGAAGTTATTTTAACGAATGCGGTGAATGAGCAAACGCGGCAAACGCTCAAAAGCCTTTGCATGGTAATTTGAGATTCCAATGTTGATGAGATTTTACTACCCAGACTTATTGGCAGGTTATATGCAAAAACCCATTTTTCAGGCCTGAAAATGGGCCTCGTCTTATTTACCGGGTAGACTTATTTGCCGAGAAATACGGTAATTAATATTCAATCTTTTGTAATTTTTCTTTCAGCATCTGATGCCGGGGCATCAGCTCCAAAAATAGATGTGATCGAAGAAAAAAATCGTGCTGTTCGAAAACTAGTTGACGAAGACCAGTTGGAGGAGATTATTGCAAAGGCAGCTGTGGAAGCTGAAGGTTATGAAGATATTACTAATTGCTTGAACTGGGCTTTGTTGAACACATTTGAAGGCGACATGATCAAAGAACTTTCTGATAAATTTGATCAAAGTGCAGGTAATGGTGTTTTTTGTTTCCCACATAACTAATGTAATCAAAGATTAAACAGATTACCTGAAAACTGAAATATTACTTATGGCAAAAATGCTGTGATCGCTAATGTTCCATGACAGTGGCTGGCAAACTGCCTTTTGTGGCCCTCAAAGGACCTCACTTCTGATGCATAAAAACTTGATGATAAATTTATTATTATCTGTGCATGCATGTATGTCATAACAATGGCTCTTTGTATGACATTTGTTTTGTAGTAAGTAGCGTCAGTAAAATCACATGTCAGATATGTGTCATTTACTTGCCGAACTTAACTATCTTTGTAATTAACACATAATAATTAGAAGTTTAATGTGCGATTATTTAAAGACACTTGAAATGTCGGCCAACATAAGTCTTAAAGCATTTTGAATTCCAATTATTTTTTCAATAAAAGGCACAGAATTTTTTAAAAAATTTTAAAATAAAAGTTTACCTGAATGGGAAACTTATTCACTTTTTATTTGTAATTCTTGTGTTTTAAACATTTATGAAGAAAAAAAAATTTGCCGAAAACTTCGATAATAATCATATATACCTTTACCATGTTTAAGCCTTTTCTGTTCCAAACATGTATTATCCATTTTCTTTTTTTTTCCCGAGTTCATATATATACTCACTTTTCTACTCATAGGATTCACTCATCAGGAGAAACAGACTCGAGTGATAACTTCAGTTCTTTATAATCGATCTGAAAATACTTTGAAAGATGTCATTGATAGATTGCAAGAACAAATACATGACGACGTTGGTCGATTGTCAAATGCATTGATTGATTCTATCAATACTATTTGTACGGGATATCATGACGAGACTAGAGTACGTAGATATTGTTTTTACTCATAGACTCAGGGATGGCCAAAACTAAATATTTCACTATTTCAAAAACATTTTCAGAAAATTTTTTCGAATATGGAATTTTGAATGCATTCCAAATTGGGGGTAAGTTCATGTGGGAAATTACTTAAATCATTATATTTTCATGTTGATCACATTTAAAATGACACAAACGTAAAGGTCATTGGTTTCTCTGTGTTTTTTGTTACCAGCTGAGATATTGTTTGTTTTGACGTGCTTGTCGGACTGCTTGAAATTCTTAATTTTCAAATAAAAATGTTCTGTAGTCTTCCTAAATTCAATAATTTACTTAATTGAATATAATGAATTTTGAATGTGTTCAGATATTGGATCCGTTTTGGACATCCATCACAGTGTTACTCGGTTTTAAAACTTGAAACTTCCTGATTTTGCCTCACCAATATATCCTTCTAATATTTGTCCCAGTCAGCTTGTTTTTGGTTGTTCCTGCTTTGCCACAAAACTAATTTTGTATCCTTGGGGCAACACTTCAAAGGGATTTTTTCACTTCTGAAATTGTGTTTTATTACTTGCATATTTCTCTTCTAAAATTAAGATCGAATACAAGCTTTTAGATACATGCTTCGCGCATTTGTTAGTTTTTGAGAGAACGTTCTTTGGACCTCAAACAATTTTATTTTGGAATTATTTGTGTCACAGTTGAATAGGCTCTTCAGTTTTGTCATGTTAGCGATATTTGTAAAAAATTGCCAATTTAATGAAAACAATTCTTTATATAGTTTATAAAAATAAATTTTCTACGATTGCTACAATGCTTCCAAAGATGGTTAAAATTGTGTTGTTGAACCAAATTTTCAGATTTTATATGAAAACTTAATCGGTTGATCGGAAATTCATTCTTGTAAATCCTAAAATACCACTGAAATTTTTTAACTTGATGTTATATTTATTTTCTTGGATATACAATAGCACTTGACATTAAATTTTTCAAATGTTTTGACACAATTTTCTATTTTGATTATTTAAATTTTTTAATTTTCTGTGTTTCAGGTCATTACTCTACAAGACTCTCTCAGCATCGAACATTTTGGAAGATTTCTGCGATATTTACATGATGGAGCAAGTCAATTTTTGGTTCACAGAGAATTAATGCAACCCCTGCACAAAGGAAGACCAAATCTTATTGTCTGTCCGGAACATGAAATTCTTCCTACAACATTGTCATTGTATATGTATAATAAAGAGCAGCCGTTACCAACAAGATCTGAAGTTCTTTTGTGTTCAGAATACACAACGGCAGACGATGTCGAGCGCTTTATGAGAAGAGCAATGTGCCATTGCGAAAATATTGGTAAAATCAGATAGTTTGAAACTAGAGATAGATGTACATAAAGAGTTGAATATTTGAATAAATTAAAAAAATATGATGAATTTTTGATTTTTTTGAATATTTTCATTTTTTTGTTAAATTTTAAGTTTTATTAGTAGACATCAGACAGGCAGACTAAAAAATTTTTCTGTCTTCCAAGAGTAACGAATTCAACTTCATTTTTCTGCATAAATATATGAAAATTTCTTTTTTGTTGAATATGTCAAAATTTTCAATATATTTGGTATGCATCTGTAGTGGAAAATTATCAAAGTCCCCTTATTCTAACTTGTAACTCATGCAATAGGAATAAAAAAAATTTATGCAACATTCTGAATTTTAGTTAATGCCTTCTGAAATTTCTGATGATTGATATTACGGCTTTATATTTTAACAGTTTAATTTTACCATTGGAATATTCCCATGTAGAATATATTTATTCATAATCGAAATGTATTACAGGCACAATTCTATAGAAAAAGGGCATTCTTAGCTAATTGTAACCATAGCTATTAGTGATTAGAGTGTTCTGATTAATTATTATAGTTGCTTGAACAAAGAATTTTCATTTTTCTGTAACTGTCAAACCAAACGCATTTCAATTTTCTATTGCCAGTGAAGGGTGTGATTGGTTCGGTGAACAATGCTAAACGTACAATACATAACTGTATTCTTTGAATAATGACATGGTCAAACTACGGCTTGCGGGCCAAATCCGGCTTGCTATGTAATTCAATCTGGCCTGGTTGATACTGCCACAACCAAACTGAAACCAAATTTTGATGTTTTAGCTAAAAAATAGCTTGAGGAATTAGTTGAGATTGTGATTAAATTTAGTTTCTTTTTTTCACTTTTACTTTTGTAACACTGGTAATATTGTTCACACAATCTAACTTTTTATATCGCACTTACATGGCCCTCAAGTCCAGGTGGACGGAATTTGTGGCCCCTGGTCCAAAAACCTTGCCGACCCCTGTTCTGGTAACAACTTTGTGTCCATTTATTTGAGCATTGTTCTCTATTTATTTCAAATATTGTTGTATATATATATATATATGTGAATATTTGAATTCAGGACAACTACTTTTCATTCTTGCATTTGCTGACAAGTTGAGTTTCAATGTATCGGCATCAACAGAGAAAATCTTCAATCAACTTTCTCAGGACGTGAGAACAAATCAAAATTACCAACTTGTCATATTATTGACTAAACAGCAGCATTACTTGACAACTTGCTTCGATAAGGTATACTTTGAAGTCATTATAAATATTTAAAAAATTATAGAGTAATATCTCGTCAGTCGAACGACTCGATACCAACGCCAATCCTGAACGAATTATATTAGACTACCAACGTATCACTGCTAATAACTCGAAGTGGTAAGAAATTTCAAAATTGTGGAAAATTCATAGGTCAAGAAACAAGATGCTAGAATATAGTGATCTCTCGGATGATAGGTGATACGTGAAGTTTGCCACAAGATATGTTTTAATTACCATATATTCTCGCATATGAGCAGAGTTTGAAACTCGAAAAAAAAAGTTGCCAAACTAAGGGGTCGGTTCATGCTCGCGTAACTCTGATCACACTAAAAACTACTCTGATTGTACTCAAACGAAATCACACTATGCTGACTCAATTGCACAGCTACAACCTGGACCACGATAAGAGCGTACAATTTGTAGGGTCGGCTTACATGTGAATTTTTATAAATTCACCATTTTCATGGGGAATATGCTGCGAGAATATGCTGTATCTTATTCCATGAAGTTAGCATTTTCTAATTTTGCTGCTTAATTTATTGTGTTATTACGTATTGAATCACGAATATTTTAATTCTAGTACTTGGTGGAAAGGAAATGGATCAGTGCAAGTGCTGATATTTCTTTGTATCTTGAACATCATTTGAAAGTTAATGATGATAATTTGATGAACAGCGCATCTTGTGTTGATAAAAAACATTCCATGGTTAAAGTTGTTTCGTCAACACGATCTGGCGTTGGTAAGTCTACAACATTGCGCAATGCTTTTGCGATATGACAGAGGGGGTTGATATGTGTTAGAATGAATGGATAGAAAACAGTTTAGGCTTAAGAGAGAGCAGGCAGTTTTACTATTTGGGTGTGGCCCGCAGCCTCATTGTCTGTGGCCCACGTCGCATTCGGAGAGTAATCAAAAAATCGCATTTGGTGTTGTTTCATCAGAAAATTAACCAGAAAAATCTTTTAACATATTGTTACATCACAAATGAATGATGAATGAATGAAACTGAATTGACTAGTGTTATAGCTAACTGAGGCAACTAGCAAAGTTGAATGATGTGCTTGGCAGTCGAAATTGTTATCTGGCTTTCTATCTTTTTGGTCGGGAATATTATGCTAACAATTCTTGTATGTTAGTTCCTTATCTGATTTGATAAATAACATTTTATTTAGGTAAGAGTCTTCATGTGAAGCGTTTATCAGAGGCACTTGATGAACATCTTTCGCCACTACTAATGACATTTCATCATGTGACGATTCGTTTGTTGGAGAAAAATCTCAGCACAGATTATGTTATTGAAAGATTAAATCGTCGGAATAAAAATGAATCTTGCAACAACGATACAATGCTCATACATCTTGATCTAACTCCCGCTGTAAGGATTTTTTCGTTTAAGTTCAATCGTTTTGAAAAATTTACTTTTTAAATAAGACCTGACAATAGTGGAATATATCTTACAGATTAATGTAGATATTGGAGTAGTGTGTGTACCAGGTTAGGGTTAGACCATAGTTTTATTCCTATTTTCCTTATTTTAGTTCTATTTACACAACTTGAATTAGTTACCTCCATATTGGTACACATACTACTGGAGCACCGATATTGGTTTACATTTACACATCAGACAACAATAATTGCTGTAATTTAATTGGTTGTTGCTGCTTTCGATTCATTTTAACGTTGGTAGTTGCGGTCTTTCATCATCCTGTCACAAATTTTATTTTTAACCTTCTTTTGACAAATTTGTGAAATTGCGATACAAAATCTTTCAACCGCTTGATAAAGCAATTTTGATTCCTGCTATAGTATTCCAGCAGCCGATGCATATGTCTCCACAAACACAGGCCCGCACAAGTAAAATAAATGAAAGGGCCACAATACACAAAAACAATCGTTCATGGGCCTTATTGTCATCGTATTATTTACTTATATCAGGCGATATTTTTCATAATATATCATATAAACATTGTAACACATGGTCTTTCAACGACGACGAGCTTCTTATAAACATTAAATCTTGAATTTTTTGTTTTATTTATTTTTCCGTTTTTAAAAAAATGATGGAACAAAACATTACTGTTGTATGCCCTACCATACATTTTCCCTTAACAGCGCAAGAGTTATTATGATGTAACAAAGAATCGTGGTGCCAGAATCATAAGGAGGGGTGGAAGTACTAAGATAATTTATACGAAAGTGGCCAACTTGTTATTTGAATTAGTGATTTGAACATTTTGATCAATTTATCTAAAATTAACTTGTGATTGTATTTTAGCACCGACCGCTTATATTTTTGTATGCATGAGTATTTTTTGCTCACCTCATCATCACAGGCCGTACGTTGTGCAGGCATAGGTAGAGAGAAAGGAGTAGATATTACGCACATGTCACTTCAATCAATCAAAATAGTCAAAACTATTTTATTTTAAATATAAAAATTTCATATTCCAGGTACAACAAGGAATCGAGACCTTTGCTTTCAACCTATTTGTTCTGGGAAGTATTCAAGATAGTCGTGGTAAAGTTTGGAAACGTCATTATAATCATCTATACATGTTGGAAATGACTGATTGTGGACATCAACGAGGGGTAAGATAATATCAAGTCTACAATTTTGTTAATTACTTATCGATCTTTAGTTCGGTAAGTATGTTGATAGGTATTTGTCTGTTTGTCTGTCTGTTTGTCTGTTAGATGCACGCAATATCTCACGAAGCCGTGGTTGAATCTGCTCCAAATTTTGCATGTGCATTCATCATACCTCGGACCAGAAGCCTATTGATTTTGGATGAATTATGTCGTATAATTAGCGAGGTATTAATTAATTAGTGATGGGACACGTGGTGTCACTATAGAGTCATGAATCGAAACCGCAGTTTCGATCGATAAGTCTTCGCTCTCTGACCGATATTCTCGTTTTTTGCATTTAAAGATGTGCATCTTTTTTATACAATCTCATTATTGATATGCAATATTACAAATGCATGTATTGGTGTATTTCTTGAATTTGTTTTCAGATTTCTCGATGTTCCATCAAGAAGTCTATGTTAATTGATAGCTATTTTAAATTAACTTTTTTTTAAATTCTATACTTTTTTATATTCAGGCTCGCTACTCCCCAAGACATATTTTAAATTTACTTCCGAGCATCAAATGTTTTTCTCCGAGAGAAGTTTTTGAAGAAACTCAGAAAAATAAAAATGAGGAATATCTTGGTATGGATGAGAAGGAATTTCATTCTGATACTTTTCAACGTCCGTACCAGTATCTAATGCATTATGATGACGGAAAAGACTTGGATGCTTTTGTTTATCAACGTTCAACAGGTAATTTTGCTTTTAGCCTCAGAAAAATGCTATCTTTGGATAGAAAAACATAAAGTACAACAGTTAGGCTGTAGTAATTTTGGTTAGAAATTTGCCTGTGAAATATTTACCGACATGCTTTATTTTGGCCCATAATCGCAGATAGGATGGGATTTACATATCTTATGCCAGCGGAGAGGAAAGCGATGCGACGGCATAATCATCTGGCGAATCACGGCCTCTCATCCGGTTACCTATCCATGTCAAGTATGGGATTAGTTAGCAGTTTTTTTTTATCTCAGATGCATGGACTTGTGGGTGTAAGAGGCCGTAACCAACCAGTGGTTCGGTAATCCTTTCGCACATAATTATCATCTACAAGATTTGAACCTGCGAACCCACGTAGGGTAATCAGGGGTGTGATGTCGAGCGTAATTCTAACGCTGATTTGAGCTGTATTAATTCATGTTCATTTTAGGAACACCAAAGGAATTAACTGGTGTCCTGCTCAAGCACTGCTGCATGTATAATCCATCATGGGCACAGCTGAGACATTTTGCAAGCTTCCTCAATGTACAACTTCAAAATTGTGAAAATTCCATTTTCTGTGACAAGTCTATCGTTGGTCAAGAACTTCAAGGTTTGAAAGCGTTCGCTGTTCGTTTCATGATAAGAATGTCGCAGGATTTTGCTACTCCCTCTCTCAATATCTCCGATGAAAGTTCTGCGGATTTCGATAAAAGCGATAAAGACGTAGCTGATGGTTTACAGATTTACCAATTCCGACGAAAATGGGAAGAATCTACACATCCGTATCTTTTTTTCAACGAAGATGGTGCAACCATGACGTTTATTAATGTTAATATCAGCGACGAAGGAGATTTACTCGACAGAAACGGGGAAATTGTAGAACCTGCTATTATCTCTAAGCAACTTGTCAATGGCTTAAAATTACAAAGAGTATCATTGGATCTGAATTTTGATACGTTTACTCGTGAGCGGAAACTTAGAGTTTTATGCCAAGTTATGGGAATTGAAGATCTTTTTGATCCAGACCCGACATACGAGTTAACGACAGATAACGTGTTGAAGATTTTGGCGATCTACATGAGATTCCGTTGCCGCATACCTGTCATTATCATGGGAGAAACTGGATGTGGAAAAACAAGAATGGTCGAATTTATGAGTCGTTTAAAAGCCGGTCCATTTCACAATCAAATCAGGAATATGATCACTTTGAAGATTCATGGCGGTATATCCGTTGCTGATATTTATAGCAGTGTCCGCAAAGCAAGCCACATTGCAGATGACAATAAAGCAAATCATAAATTAAGTACGATTCTTTTTTATGATGAAGCAAATACAACAGAAGCTATTTACGCAATAAAAGAAGTCATGTGCGACCTGACAATAGATGGAAATTCGTTTCAGAAATTACAATTGCAACTCGTTGCAGCTTGTAATCCGTATAAACAACTGTCGAAAGAAGCAATTCGAAAGCTTGAAGATTCAGGTCTGGGATACAGAATCAGAACCAGCGAAACGACACATCTGTTTGGTGATATACCTATGAGAACCTTAGTATATAGAGTAGTAGCTTTACCACCAAGTATGCAACCATTTGTCTGGGACTTTGGACAACTGAGTGATGAAGCAGAAAGAATATATATTCAACAAATGACAAGGAAATTGGCGGAAAAACTCGAAATTGATCGTGAAACTATAAGATTGGTGAACGCTGTATTCTGTGAAGCTCAAAATTACATGAGAAGCAGACAAGATGAGTGCAGGTTTGTGTAATACATATTTTTTTCTATCCCTGCTCAGAGTCTAGTGCATTAAAAACTCGTTTCGCGGGTCGCACATTATTCAAAATTAGCACTTCACTGTGGGCCGCACAAATTTCCCTTGTGGGTCGCATTTGGCCTGAGGTTGGCACACCCCTAGCGTATTCATGATCTAGCATATTCTGAATCTTCATTCTTTAGCTGTAACCTTGACTGCCAACAATATCATTGTTCATTATTTATGTCTGATTCAATATTATGATTCAGTTTTTTATGGATACAGTTTTTTTTTTTTGAAATAAATGTCAAATGTATTGGATGGGAAAAATGAAATCAATCTGTTTTGAATAATTCGAAAGTCGAAAAATTTCATTGTTTTTTAATACAAATCAAATTTTTTTTTATTCCAATTTATTATTTGTATTATGCTATGATGGTATAGTAATTTTAATTTTTAGTTAAAAATGAGAAGCAATTTCCTTATTTTTACTTCCTTTAACATTGACATTTTTCGATATTATTCATTTAGATATGTGAGCCTAAGAGATGTTGAACGATGTGTTATCACATACGAATGGTTTCATAAACATCGCGAAGTTCTTTATCCATTGATCGAGACGGAAATTAAGAAACGCTACGCTCGGATGACAAGAGATCCGCCCGATATCAACAGCGATCTGAGAACTTTGCTACAGACCATCGGTGTCTGCTATCATGCATCTCTTGACGACAGAATTAAGTTCCGAGAAGCAATCACATATGCTTTCGGTCTTGAAGGAATGCTTGTTTCCGAGTTGACAATTCGTGAAGAAATTTCCGCAGCCCAAGCTGTTTTCTTACGAAATATGAAAATGGATGACAATATCGCGGCTAATGAAGCTTTACAAGAAAATGTTTTCATGATGACGGTGTGTGCTGACATGCGTATTCCGCTTTTCCTGATTGGTAAACCCGGAAGCTCAAAGTCTCTCGCCAAAACTATTGTTGGTGATAACATGCAAGGTGGAACATCTCGGTCACCTCTTTACAAAAAATTAAAACAGGTAAAGCTATTTTATATCATACTTCAAGAAAGAATACATTCTTAATTTTATGAAATGACAAGACTATGAATATAGAACCTAGTTGAGTTTCATTATGCCAAGTTTGACGGGACATAAATGGAAAATTTTCTGACAGAGGACATCTTCACAAATGGTTAATTCTCTCTTATTGTCTCCCAGGTCCACATACTGTCTTACCAATGCAGTGCATTAACTGATGCTGCAGGTATTGAAAGTGTTTTCAAACAATGCGCCCAACTGCAAGTTCAACAAGATTTAGAATCTTACACGGCTGTTGTTGTTCTTGATGAAATAGGCTTAGCTGAAGATTCACCAAACATGCCGTTAAAGGTAAGTCAAACACGACAATGCCAGGGCATGCATGAACATCTAGTGTGCAACAGGCGGCTCGCGGGCCACAGCCGGCCAAGCCATTTATTGTGGCCCTTGTCAACACTTAGATTTTCCAAATCGATCATGAAATCATAATCCAGCAGTTTATGTTTAAAAAGGTGCCCACATGGTTAATTTGATAATGTTTTTTGCCGTGTTACTCGTTGCCTTTATTATTGTAAGGCTTCGTTGTGTACGTGGAAAAACTAAATTTTTAGTGTGGCCCGGCTAGATGTCTGAAGTTGGTTATATGGCCCACCCACAAATAATGTTGCATATCCCTGTATTAGATTCAGTATAAATGTGTCATAACCTTGTATAGCTGAATCTCTTTTCATAAAATACCAAATACGAGTATAAACTTTCGACCAGGTATAAGTGTGTAAGGCTTGCACCTTAGTGGACATCAACATTGATTTTCTTTTTATTTCTTACAAACCTGAGAGCTCTGTTCGACGACCTCGAAAGATATTGTGCGATCATTGAGGACGAATGCTGAGTGCAATTATAGGAATGAATTTGGAGTCTAAATTTGCAAATTAATTTCATTTTGATTGTTTTCTTACGTGTCTGCTTTGATCGTATTTATCAACAACTTAAAATTAGAAGGCAACAATATCTTTGGTACTGGTCCCTGGACTCGTTGTCCTTTTATGTTTGTTTGTTTTTATTTAATTTTTGGGTTAAATAAGATTTCGGAAATGTCGTCACTGCGTATCCGTCAATAATTCTGAGGAAATTGACTTAATGGCATTGCTGCATATCGGTCACAAATCAGTATATTTGGACTATTCATGCAGAAATCTTTGTAATGTTACTTCGTTAAATACTTGTATAGGTGTTTCAAATTTTACGAAACGGCCTACTTAAACTTGATATTCCCACGACATTGTCGCACATTATGCTCATTTAAACATTGAGTCATTGTCATAGCTACTGAAAAATGAATGAATAAAAACACTATAACGCTAATATAACAATCAATTTCGACGTGATGTGTATGTTCTCGTGTGGTCGTCAAAAATGCAAGTGTCATGACCTCGCCCCGCGTTTACCAGATATTCGAATAGTAAACTGCTATTCTAATATTCGACTTGATATTCGCATAATTTGCCAGCCCTACTCAGTGACCAGAGAGCAATTAATAAATTGATTGATTTTATGTAAACTTGCCTTTCACGTATTATGTAAATTCCCTACACCGAAATCAGGACTTAGCTGGTAGTAATGTTTGGTACAAACGTTTGCGGCCCGCAACAAATTTTGTCACGTGAAAGTGGCCCGCGAGTCGAAAAAGGTTGGGCAGGCCTGATTTACGCCATTCAGAAAATCTTGTTGCAAAGTTGCACACTAGCTTTATTTTTAACCAGAATTGTTTTTCCATCGTTTTTCTGCTGTCAATGAAAATTTTCATTTTTAACGATGCGAAAGTCAAAATTGTAAAGTTGAAGCTTGGACCGGCGTGTTTGTTTTAAACGTCATTTTTGGAATTCTATTGTGATAATCCCTATTTCATTTAAGGTTTTGCATCCTCTTCTTGAATGTGGAAGTACAGCAAACAATAGTTTAACTGAATATGACATCACAAAGAAAGTAGGATTTGTCGGAATTTCGAATTGGGCTCTTGACCCAGCAAAAATGAATCGAGGAATTTTTGTGACAAGAAACAAACCTAATAAAGATGATCTGAAAAAAACAGCGAAAGGAATTTTTGAAAATCACAAAAGCAAGATTAATGAGAATCTTGATCTTCTTGAGAGGTTAACGCATTCATATTTAACAATCTATGAAGCACAAGAAGTCGAATATTTTGGCTTACGTGACTATTATAGTTTGATTAAAATGATACATGCGATTTGTACTTCGTCAAAAGATGCTAACTAACGCCTGACGATGTTGCCCAACGCGATTCATCGCAATTTCAGTGGGGGAAAGAAGTCGCATTTCGAAACATTCAGAGAAAATATTGAATATCTTTTCCGTGGAGGTTTACAATCATCAGTACCCATCCGGAAGATGATATCTGATAATCTTTCAAGAGAAAGAAAGTCGATTTTGTTATTGTTGACGAATCAATTTTCCGCGGCTAATTTGTTGCATATGTGTATGGATGATTTTGAACAACGCGCTCAAGTTGTTTTCGGATCCAGTTTCCCTGGTGATCACAATTATACTGACATTTGCCGAAATATTAATAGGATAAAAGTGTGTATGGAAACGGGCAGAACAGTTGTTCTCTAAATATGACGGAAATTCATGAATCTCTTTACGACGCTCTCAATCAACATTATGTCACATTTGGAGGTCAAAGATACGTGGATTTGGGCCTTGGAGGTCATCGAGTGAAATGTAGAATTGCAGACAACTTCAGGTTAATCGTTGTTGAACAGAATAAAGTCGTTTATAGTAAATATCCAATTCCGCTTATCAACAGACTTGAAAAACATCATCTTGATTCCAAGAGTCTTTTATCACCAAACCAAACTGAAGACGCTAATTCTTTGACAGTATGGGCTGATAATTTTGCAAATATTAGAGGAAAAGAATTCCTGAGCAAAGACGCTTTTGTTGGTTTCCATGACGATACTGTCTGTTCTGTTGTGTTGACGACACAAAGCAATGATGAAAATGTATACAAAGAAATATTATTGCAATCGGCAGGCATGGATGCCATATTCAGATTGCCAGAATCTCAAATCGGAGGAGAAATTGAAACTATACAAAAGCAATATCTACAAGGACAATGTCACGACAGCCTTTTACTTCTACTTAAAGAAGTTTTGAAGATGGAACAACGCTGTCCATTGTTTGAAATCACATCTTACTCAAATATACTTTCTGAGAGCGACCGACAAGAACTCGAAACCGGACTCAATTTGAAAAATAGCGTGATGCTTCTTTCGCTTGAACAGTTTGAAACGGAGCAAGAATATGCAAGTAAACTCGATGATTTTTTTTCATATCAAAAGAAATCAACTTCTGATACAAAAGCAGGTGTACTTTTAATTCAGTGTTCCCAGTCACAATCCCAAGGACAACTTATAGCATGTGCAAAATACTGCTTGACTAATAAAATCAAAGAAGTGAACACTTTGAATGCAAGTAATTTGAATAACAAGAAAATTGTTGTCGCTTTTCTGTTATCGACAGAAAGAGAAGGCGCCAATGATGTTTCAGGTGACTCGCTTTTGCTACAGCACGTTCGAGATAATCAGATAGTGTACGTTGATGAACTGAGACCAACAAATAACGATATTGCACCTGCGAGTCAATTTTACAAGAAGTCTCTTTGTGAGGTCCTAAGAATGGGTCTCGAAGAACTGGAAAGTGAAAGACAGGAGGGTTCTTTGGTAAATATCATATCTTTGCTTCAAGATTGTGTTTGTGAAGCGGTTGCAAAAGTTAAAAGTCGCTTGAGTAAAAGCGAGCGCTATTTCGAAAGAGTTCGAATTCTAACAGAACTTTGCTCTGAGACAACGCCTATAAGTATACATTTTCGCAAAATTCTTCTGCAAAAAATGATTGATTTATACTCCCAAAGAGAGGAACAAATTTTGCTGATGGGTGGAGATTGGATCACAAACGAAGCCTGTAACCGGGAAAGCCTTCAAGAGGGTGGCACGTTTCGTAAAACTTTGTGGCTATGTTTAAAGCGACACGTCTCTCGCATGATGGCTTATATAATCAGTATATCTGATCGTCATGATAATCTAAATCTGTTGTTAAAAACTGGAGAAACTGCATGGAAAGCTGAAATGTGGCTCAAAATATTTCAAGCTCTGCCGCTCTCTTGGTCTTCTATCGGTGGCGCTCGAGAATTTCTCATCACAGCACCTCAACATCATAAGTCTACTATTGCCTGTACTGTGCCTTTTAGTTATGAGCTACACGAATTTTTCACCAATCAATGGGATACTTTGTATCAACAGCAATCTCCAAACATGCATGAGATTTTTACTCGCTTTTTCGGAATCACCATTATTTGAAATTGCAGGAAATGCATTAAGAGTGGCAAAAGTGATTAATATGATAAAACTATATGCTTTGGATCTTCTTCACAATGTCTATGTACCGGGGTCTGATAATCCGAAAGAGTTTGAGGCAGTGAGAAATGTCATCCACGCGTTTCTATGAAGAAATACCAAGATCTACGAAAGATTTCTGGATTTACAAACGGTGATGAATTTGCTATGGTTTTCTTAACATATCAAGAACATCAAAAATATCTGAAATTATTGGCTGAAATTTTCAAGCTTGTCCGGAAATGGTCGAAAAGCAGATTGGGTGAAAAAACAGCAAGTGTTCAATGACTTTCGTATCCATATTTTTGCATTCAAAAGTGTAATGGAATTATTGCAAGAAAAAGCAGAATCTTTAAATGATGCCAACTCTTGTCTTGCATGGAAAAATCTTATGACTACCATCAAAAGAATTTTCAAAAAAACTGTCGATTATATTATGACGAAGAAGCGAAAAAGAAATACAGGAGAAATGGACTCCTTGATTGTTGTTGATCTGCTAATCGGACATGTTCTTCCTAGTTCTAATGTGGAAGAAGTTTTTAAAAGATACCTGTCTGTAATTGCTCCACAGGTTAAACTACTGTGGAGAGGAATAGCAAAAACTGATATCAGAAGTTATCAAGTGTTGCGCATCGTGTCAAACGTTTTGCGCAGGTTGCACGACGATATTAGACTAAAGATTCTACTAAATTGGCACAAAGATTTTAATTGTAGATTGTGCAGAAACGAGTTGAGAACCCAACCTTTTTACAGTGTGGTCATTTCACATGCGAAATGTGTATTTTGCGTCTAATGGCCGCTGCACAAACTGGAAGAAGGTGTCCTACATGTGCTGGAGAGATCTCGGAAGAAGATAGCCACCCAAAACCTTGTTTTGAACCCCGACCAGATGAAAGAATTGGAAAATTTCAGTCGAATTGTACAAGTTTCTTTATGGAATATCTGCGTCAATTTTGCTTCGCACCTTGGAAGGATCTCAAGCGAAACCCATGGAAATGCAGATCAAAACACTAATACGAGAACTGGTTATACAAGCACCTGGCAATGAAAGAAAAGAAATCGTGAATCCTTCTTTGGACTTGAACATCAACGCAAGAGTAGCATATTACGAATTTTAATGGATTTGATCCTGAAATTGTGAAAAATGAACTCAATGAATGGATGGCTAAATCGAAAAGATCACAGTTGAGGGATATAACACTCGTAATTACGAAATGTTTTGAAGATAAACTTATTCTCGATTCAATACCGTATCAACCGAATCGAATTTCATATCTCGATCGTTGGGAAAAACTTCTAGGTGCTGCATGGAGAAAAATTTTATTGAATGATGAATCCTTGACTAAAGTTTCTATTCTGCAAGCGGTCGCTGAAATACGACAGTCTATATCCATATCGACAAGCTGTATTCAAGATATTTTTCAAAGAATCGATATTGATTATGAAATAACAGCAAAGTCAGATAACTTTGTCAGTTTTGCTGTAAAAATTATCATTGATGATACCAGTGAAAGTGTTCTTAAAGAATTCATCATCAAAATTGCATGTCGAATATACGGAAGTGACTGGTTCCACCAATTAAGAGATAATGCTGTCTTAGAGGTGAGCATTTTTATTAAATTTTGAAACAAAATTACTGTACATGTTTTGTCTAAAAATACATATTTAAGCTTATGCCTCCAAATATAACAGCATATGCTTAATAAATAAACAATATAACAGAGATGGCATAAGTGTAAAAACGATTTGGGCCCCAGATACCGTTGTGCGACTTTAGGATAGGATTTGGTATACCCGTAGTATGCGTACCTGGTTGGGCCATAATTTTATTCCGATTTTCCTTAGTTCTATTACGAGTTTGGGGACTGTCTTCGTTAGCCAAGTGAATATACCCCCTGTCCATAGGTTTCAGTCTCTTTACACTACATGATGTAAAGTAGGCGAAAAAATATAGTTTCCTTCATATTGGTACACATAGTTTCTGCAGCTCACATAGGATTTTCTATATAATTACCGATGTTATATATATAATATGAAGGGATGCAAATATTTTTTCATTGATTCAGGACCTCATTCCGATCTCGCTTCTTGAAGCCAGCGAAGACAAAAATAAAACTGATCGTTGGCCATTGTTGGGGAAATCCTACACCAAAGCAAAATCTATGCTTTATAAATCACCTGCTACAGATGTTGAAAAGTTAGTTAACAGTTTACTTCCACCTGACGCACCTTTGAATCGACTCGGAAAAATTCTGTCATTGTTTACATGGTCGCTCAATAAACCTGATGATATCAAAACCACGGTTTCGGAATGTTTGAAAAACAATCCAGATGCCGGTACTCATTTTTTTGCTTTCCTAATCCATCTACAAAGCAATTTTATACCTATGTTGAAAGCAATACCACATATTACTGAACAGCAAGTCCACACTTTATATCAGTTAGTGACCTTAATTGTCGCCATGGTAACAGCGAGAAGTCACATGATGGATGGATTTCTTCATCTTCTGACACGGCCGAGTATCATAAGAAATATGTTTTTACCTGCAATGCCAGAGAATCCATATTTTTCTACACCTGTTGAATATCGTCGTCAAGGATATAATACTTTGTACACTTGTCCTAATGGTCACATCTATACAATCGGAGAATGTACGCAACCAATGCAAACAGCTAAATGTGCTGATTGTGGTGCTACTATTGGTGGAGCAGCCCACAGACCAGCAGCTGGTAATCAACGCCATGCATTATTGAATGAACAAAGTCAAGCTGGTTATAAGTTGAATCAAATGCAAGGAAATGTCGGCGATCCAGCTGATAGAGTTTCGAAACAAGGGGCAGCCGTTATTCAGTTTATTCTTC